ATATACTGATAGAAATAACATCCTTTTGAGTCATGGGTATGACAACCTTTGGCCATAGATCAATGGTCTCAGCATCTCTCAGGACATAGATTAAATGTGTGTACTTATAAAATCTAAAATTGTAGATTGGCATTACATGACATGTCCTTCTGACATAATGTGTAAGTAAAAGGAAAAATAATAATCTAAATGAAACCATTTGTGTTCCCCTGGTCATTGGGTTTCCATGGCTTTTATTAAAAAGATTTATTTTTATTTATGTGTATTAGTGTGTGTCTGCATGTACGTTTGTGTATCACATGTGGGCCTGATGAACTCCAAGGCCAGAGAAGATATTATATCCCCTGGAACTTAAGTTACAGAAGCAGGGGATGCTGGGATTCTACTCTGGCTGAAGTGGAAGAGCAGCAAGTGAGCTTAACCACTGAGCCATCTCTCCAGCCCCTTCCTTGACATTCTTAATAAATGCATCATTCATATTTTAGAGATCAATTTGGAGACCTTTTTTTTAACTTTAATTTTGGTTTTGGTCTGCTAAAAGTCAACTTATAGTCTATAATGCTAAATTGTATAATAAAATAATAAACATTATCTTAACATTTAGCTCAAAGATGAGTAGATTTATAAGTGTTGTTCTAAATTAAATAAAAGCAACCCGACAAGAAATTAAGGTTATTTGAACTTAACACAATTATAACTCTATTGTTTTCTCAAGGCTGGACAGCTTTGATCATGTCTGAAGCAGGCTAACTCTTCTGACAGGCACGAACTGTCTTTGTTAGGTTCTTTTCCAGCTAGACTGGTGTTTTCATACAAATAAGAAGGTTTGACAAATGAGGGAAGTAAAATATGTGGCTCAAGAAAAGTATGTATACACTATAAAAATGTGTGTAGGTTTAGAAGAAGTCATATGTGAAAGTAGCAAAACAATCAGAGGAATATTCTAAAGTGGATTCGAAGCCTTGTTTATAAGCCATATCTTTGAAAATTTTTAAATATTTTCCTGAAACGGGTTTTTTTTTTTTTTTTTTTTTTTTGTCTCTGATCTGAACAGCATTCTCATGTCTGAAGGACAAACCAAAGAAAACTTATTGTTAAATTTTGTTACTGATTTGAACAAATCATTTATTTTTATAATTTAGATATTAAATTAAATTACTCAAAAAGAATCTGATAGGATGGCTGGAGATGTGGTTCAGGCACTGACACATGTTTATATTACTGGAGATCTTGGGTCCCATCCCTGAGACAGCCAAACAAATAATAATTACTATCTAATAGCAGGATAGAAATGAATACTAATTCTGGGGCTGGAGATATAGTTCAATGGCAGAATACTTACCTAGCAAGAGTGAATCTCTAGTTTACAAAAAAAATGGGTTCATTTGTATTTTACTACTTTTTCCAAATAGATTTGAGAAAATAAAGAACATATATGAAGTCCAGCCTTTGGTGGTACATCTTAGGTGAAATGCTAAGAGGAAAATTCAGTAGCATTTCTGCGATTTTAATCAACTGAACTGCAAAAAAAATTTCCTTAAAATATTTAGTTAAAGTAATGCTTCCAAGTTTAACTAGACTTTCGTTATTAAGCCAAACTTTGTTCATTTATTTTAATCCTAATACTTTCATATGCAAGTAAAATGCCATTTAATAAAAAGAGCTAGAAGACATATTCGGGCAAACAAATCATAAAAGTTAGCAAGTAATAGGCCATTAAAATAAAGACCTCTAAGAATATACATCAAGATGGTGTAAATTTGTGATAGGCAGGGAGATTGAGACAAAGGAATGCTGAAAAATAAACAGAAATCGGTGAGATGGAAATAAGATAACAAATTGAGTTTAACGTAAACTAAAGAATTAGAAGGGAAAAAGTTTAACACGGGTGTTCAATTAAGAAACTAAGAACTAGTTGCAGGGGAAGGATAGAAATGTTGTTGAAATTAGAGGACTTTATCTATCTCCACATTACCAGAGTTTTAAGAAATAAAGGCAAGTTGACTGATCTCAAAGAAGAAAGGATATAAAACGTAGGCTATCTCAAAAACACACAAAGGAACTCATAAGTAAGCATATTAAACAGAAGCAGGCTTAATTTCCTACTTCAGTGAGCAAGACCAGCAGATCAGATTTTAAAATGTAAATTCAACTGTTCAATATTTAATGTCTTGCCTTTAAGAACTCAGGAAGTATGGAAGTTTAAAGAATGTAAGATACAGAAAGTGTATATGTACACAGAGACCCAGGCATGGTGACTAGCTGGTTTCCTTGGTTGAGCACACAGGGTGTCTGGCTTCTTTCATCTGCCCTGAAATTAGTTTGGGGTCAGGTTTTTCAAAACCAAGAAAGTGACTTGAGGTCATATCCAATTGCCAAATTCTTCTACATGATTTCTGTTGCTTTTTATTTGCTTTATGTTTATTTGTTTGACACTATGGACAGGGTTCTGAGATGGTAGAACCATAAAATAAGCAACTGGAATCCACGGACACTGCTTTCGAAAGAGAAGCCCCCCAGTCCATCTGCTGTTCTAAGACTTCTCATGATCAAAAAGACTGTCACTTTGCTACTTGTCACCCTTGTCACTGTGGTGAGCAGTTCCCTCCCTCCCCAATGCTGAAGCTCTGCTATAAAGTGGCAGTTGTACCCCACTGCAGCAACACTCTGGAACCTAGAAGGAATACTAGAAGCCTTATTCTTACTCGTTTTATATGTTTCTCTGTGTTCATGTGTTTGTGTGTATACATGCAAGTGCACGTGTGTTATGAGTGGACACCAGAGGTTGACATTGGGTGTCTTCCTTAGCTACCCTACTCCTTATTTTTTTTGAGACAAGGTCTTTTAGTGAGCTTGGAACTCACTGATTCAACTGGACTGGCTGCTTGTGAGTTCTAGGGATCTGTCTGTTCCAATACCACCTCACCCTAGCACTGGAATTATGGAAACATGCCCCTACGCTCATATTTTCATGGGGATACTGAATTCAGAGCATCAAGCTTGAATGGTGGACATTTTACCATCCAAGACATATCCCCTGATACTGGAAGCTTGAAGACAGTTACTCAATAGTGGAAATCATTTGGCATAACTGTTACGATGATAATTTGGGAGATATTTGTTACTAACTCTAGAAGATACTTTTGGCAAATCTGAAACTTTACCATAGTCATATATACCTTGTCAAAACACTCCTTTGACAGGAATTCAACAGAATGGTTAAAAGTATACAATGAGGGTCCAAAGGTGTGGTGTTTCCTAGTGTGATAACTGCAGCCCTCAAACACTGAGATGCAAAACTACTTACAAACAAAAATATGAAGACCAGGAACATGTCTCAGCTGGATAAAGTAACTGAAGTCAAAGATTATGTTGAAGGCCTAGTCTTACAAGCCTCAGGGTTGGTGGCCATTAGGCCCAAAATTGGAGAAATGGAATCAGGAAAGAAAGCTCTAAAGGTCAGTTTGAGACCTATGCATTAAACACTTCTAGGGGTATTTTATGTCAGAAGAACTGTCTGCAGCTAAATAAAGAGGATGATACTAACAAATAGTTATATAAATTGTATGGGAAATAAATTTCTGAGTACACAACAAGATGAGAATTAGAGTCTTCAAAACAAAATGAAACCACTTGGGTATTTTGGGAAGACACTACCATCTACATTTCCAGTCATTTAGACATAAAAATAGGGTTAAACAAAAGCCATAGGGTTCCAAATCCCCATGAATAAGAGTAAAAGTAAGCTCTGAGACCCTCCCAAGAGCCTGGAGCATGAGGGTATGCAGATGGAGAGTAAGGGGTCCTCACAGAGAGCAGAATCCTGCCTCACCTCCAGGGAAGGTGTCTGCACAAGCACTGCTGGAGAGATTTCAGATGGGTTTGGAATAGTGACTTCATCACTGCTCAGAAAGGAAGAAATTAGTGTAGAGTAATAATAATCTGATTTCTCTAAAGGGGAATTTGTAGGA